TAGTGTCTTTGAATATCTTTGATTGATTTAAGTAACCCAAAAGAATGCTTGAACGAAGTTCATCAATAGAAGCTTCTTTTCACTTTTAAACTGATGGTTTCTAAGGGCAATAGTTAGGAGAGATGAAGCATAATTTGGAAAAGCCAATGTAAACCAAAACTAGATAGAAGATGAGTCCAAAAAGTTTTAGCAAACTCACAAATTATGAAGATATGATTTTGTGACTCAAGATTGTTCTTGCACAGCGAGCACCATTGTGGTGAAATATTCATGTATGACATTCTTTTTTGAAGTTTATCTTGAGTGTTGATAGCTTTTATGACTGCTTCCAAAGGAAAAATTTTACTCTTCTGGGATAATGGCCTTTCCAAATGGCATGATTCAAATGCGGGGCTTCATCTAAGATTCCTTGGAAGAAGAGAATTTGTTGAGAACAACCGGTTTGTTTTGAGCTTCCAAAAAGATTTGTCCATGAGATTATTTAGATGAATTGTGGAGAGATAATGTAGTAGCTCAGCCCATTCATTGATTTTCTCATCTTTTAAGTTTCTTCTCAATCTAAGGTTCCATGCCCCCGATTCATCCACCCAAACGTCACGAACAACCTGTATTTTCAAGGTTAAGTGAAAAAGAAGGGGGGATTTTTGAGCTAAGGCAGTTTCCGATAGCCATACATATCCTTCAAAAGGAAATATTTGCCCCATCACCAATTTTGAATGATAATCTATCAAAAATCAGATTCTGAAACTTCAAGATAGATTTCCAAGGGCCCTCTTGCTGTAGATACAAAAAAGGTTCCTAGCTTAGTTATTGATGTTGGAGGCCCATATTTTGCATCGGCAACTTCCCCAAAATGTCGATTTTTCATTGATATATCTCCATATCCATTTGCCCAGGAGAATTCTATTCTTGTTTTTAAGACTAGATACCAAGATCCCATTCTCAATGGGGAGGAGAAAATTTTCCCATTTCACAAGATGCATACCTTCGTTTTGACCCTCTCCTTTCCAAAGAAAGTTTCTGAAAATTCTCTCTAAAGAATGACCTTTTGATGGCATGGCAAATAAAGACGGTAAAGGAGGTACATCAATGTGGCTTGAATATGGGTGAGTCTCCCTCCTTGGATATATTAGAGTTCCTTCGAACTTTGAATTCTTTTTTCACCTTTTCAATCATTTATTCCCAAGGCGACAAAGATTGATGTTTACCATTCAAAGAAGACCTAGGTAAGAATTTGGCCAGGACCTCACCTTGCAACCAAATTTTCTAGCCAATTCACCTCGTCTTCTTCCAGATTGATTACCAAAGCACAGATTTATGGTGATTAATATTCAGCCGTGATGCTCCTTCAAATAAATGACCAATGTTGAAAATGTTGAAGAGATTAGTGATATCTGGTTCGTTATATGGAGAGAAAAGAATGGTGTCATCCGTGAATAAGAGACAGTGGATACCAACTAATTTATTCCCCACATCAAAACCTTTTATGAGATTCGAGCTTGCTTCATGTACCATAATCCTACTGAAACAATCCATAATCATAATGAAAAGGAAGGGAGATAAAAGGATCTCATCAAAGAAGTCCCAGTAAACTTTGTCTAATGCTTTCTCAATGTTAAGTTTTAGGACTACACTTGTTTTCTTCTTTCTTTTCCACTCATCTATAAACTCATCTATAAACTTGTTTACAATTAAGGATGCATCCGAGATTTGTCTTCCTGCAACAAAAGTGAAATTCTGAGATAAGTTTGTGGGAAGAACTTTTTTGAGCCTCCATCTTATGTGTGCTTGTGATGTTTTAACATATTTGTATTAGATCCTTACTTACATCCAAAGGTCAGGAAAAAACAAGTTTTATCTTTTTTTTTTCTCATTTACAGGTGCTTGCATCAAGAGCCATGGAACTATGATGCTCGATATCTTCTTATACTGAACTTTCTGCAGAAGGCACGTGAAGAAAGATTCCCTTATCATCTACGTGTGACGATTGAGCGGCTAATCTCGGTTGCCTTTTCCAATGAATTATATTTGAAAAAAGATACGTCCTATCAATATAAAAAGTTTCAGCTGTTACTTTGTGCATCTGAGATCAGTTTCCAAGGCGGTAGCCAAATTAAATGCATTAACTACGCGGAAGCTGCGTCGTCTATTTCACTTCCTGATAATTATCTATTTTGTGCACACTTGTTACTATGCCGAGCCTATGCTGCAGAAAATGATTCTAACAACCTCCGCAGAGAGTTCATAAAATGTTTGGACTTACAGACAGATAACTATCTTGGTTGGGTATGTCTTAAATTCATTGCATCTCGATATGAGCTTCATGCTGAATCCAATATCTTAGAACGTAGTTTTAAGGAATGCTTGAAAGAGAGAGAGAATCTACAACACATGTCAATGCCCATGTTTAGTATGGTGGATGGTTTAACATCCTTTTGGAGCCAGGATTTTATGGTTGCTGAGAAGTTTTTTGCTCAAGCTTGTTCGTTGGGATGCGATGATGTCTGTCACCTCCTCTGTCATGGTACTTTCTGACAATTCGACTCAAACTGTGTGCAAGCTATTTCTTCCAAAAGGCTTATATGTTTTAAGTGGCATTGTGTTGCTATTTTCAGCTGCGGCATCCTTTTAGTTTTTTTTTTCCTAAATTATTTTGTTGTGGGTTCATCCACTCTAAGACGTTTTAATCTCAGTTCAGATTTCCATTTGTGCAGTGGTTATTTATTTAATCTCTAATTAACTCAGGTGTAACCTGCATGGAACTTGCGAGGCAGCTTTGCAGTTCTCATTTCTTGATGCTGGCTGTGAACAGTCTCCTCAAAGCTCAAGTAATTTCTGTTGTTCCAGTACCTATTGTATCGATCATGCTGGCTCAAGCAGAAGGGAGCCTTGGCTTGAAAGAAAAGTGGGAGTCAAACCTTCGTTTCGAATGGTTCTCGTGGCCACCAGGTTTATCTGTGTTTCTCAGTCTGATTTTTTTTAATCTAAGAAAATCATCGTTGACCTTCTGTGAGAGTACTAGGAGGAACATATATTGATAATATTACTAGGATGTCAGTGAGGGCATTATGGTAATTAGTTAGGGATGAGTTGGTTATAAATAGAGGGAATAGATGGAGGATTAGGAATAGTCGTGTGAAGAAGTGTGAGAGATACCCCTCACGAAAGGCTATTGATATTGTAATTTTTTTTTGATATTGCAATATAGTTCTATTGTCACTTTCTTGTAGTCGGGACCTAACACCTTTTCTCATCGAGGGGATGAGAGTAACTTCTATCACAGGTTGAAATTAACACTACTTGTTCTATTCGGTTAGTTTTCAAAAAAGGCGTTCAATTAGTCTTCTATATGAAGTGTTTTAAGTATATCTTTCTGTATAGAAATTATATTGTCCACTATTGATTCCATGAAGAGTAATATGTTATAATGAACGAACCCTGATAACTGTAAGCATGTTTCTGGCAGATATGAGGTCTGCAGAGCTGTTGTTTCAAATGCATTTGTTTGCAAAACAGTCGAAAGTTGGGTCTGATCAATTGGGCGTCGAGTCACGTCAGCCTCCTCTGAGATGGGTTCTTCGTGCAATCCACGTAAACCCTTCTTGTATGAGATACTGGAAGGTGTTGCAGAGCTTGTGGAAGGAGATCTGACATTTCCATGCCGGAATTTGAGCTTGATTTCTCCCGTGTCCTGGGACAGAATTCAAATCATATTGTCGGATGATGGCAGTGGTTTCCCATTATTTCTTAATTTCTCCCTTTGAGCTGTTGTATTAACTAGCTAAAGTTCTTTGGGGCTAGAAAGTTTTTTGTTCTTGGAAATAAAGTGGCCATATCTAAGTTTTAAGATTAGACCTAGGAGAAGTTGATGTTTTCAAAAAACCAAGAAAGAAATTGTAGTTAATTATGCAAATACGGAACTTCAAATGTGAAAATGTTGTGTTTTCAAGAAACTATGAACTATAAGTTTTGAAGAACTTGTTTGAAAGAGTTTCAAAATGGATAGCTATGAGGTTTTTTTTTTTTCTTCTGACTGAGATAGCTATGAGCCTGTTTGGTATGCAATCATGTGAGATATAATATATATCATGTAGAAATATATTATGTTTGTTAAAATTAAATCATGTAAAATGTAATATATATTATAAATTATATAATATTGTTAAATAATAATTTGTATATATGTTAATAGAATAAATTTTTAAATTGAGATTTAATTTTTAAACCTGCTGTCAAACATAACACAAAAACATGGAATATTCTTTCATTGAATTTATTGTTATATTGAGGTTTCATCAGATCCCTTGCTTTGGATTTTTGAGTTTTTTCCATTCAATTTTTGTTTCTTGAAATGAGAAATAGAACATGTGTAGTGGATAGTAAAAATAATTTATATTTCAAAAAATCTGACCAGCTTTTCAAAATTTAAAATATAGCAACATTTTTGAAATTTTATTTTCAAAGTTTTTATCATTCTGATTTTACCCCTATGATATCCGATATACATCTAATGTATATCCGTATTTGATATACTTTCAATCTATATATGATATGCCTTTGATATATTTCTGATATACATTCAATCTATATATGATATACATTCGATGTACTTCTGATATACATCCGATATACATTATTAAATATACTCATAATATACATTATTAGATGTTTGTATTATACCTCTAATGTATATATATCTGATGTACCTCAAATTTACGATATACTAAATATATTTGTAATTGATATACTAAATATAAGGTATATCAGTTGTTTAAATTCTAGTTTGTCATTGCAATTTGTTAGTTGGTATACTAATATTATTGATTACTATATCACTAGTAATTATTCTATATTAATATTAATTAGATACTAAATATAAGGGATATAAACTATTTAAATTTATAAAGTATATCATATTTTTAATTTTTTTTTACGTGCATGATCCACATAAACTTTTTATACAATAATTTTATATTTCAAAAATTTTTTTGCACCATTGTTTTCATATGAAAAAATATTGGATATAACAGTATTATATCAACACACATGTATCATAATTATATTAATAGATATCATGGTTATATAAGAGGTACATTAATAGTAAATTAGAAGCATATAAGTTATTAAGTATAGAAAGAAGCGTAAATGTTAGAGAATTTTTCAAGTGTTGGAGAAAAATGAAAGAGTAGGACATGTTAGGAAGGGAATATTAATTGGAAAAAGAAAAATAAATGTTAGAAAGAGAAAAAGTCAAATAACCAAATATTTTTAAGGAAAGGTATTAATTAAAGAAATTAATGTCAGAAAGATAAAAATGAAAAGAAGACATATGTTAGAGAAAAGTTAGAGCATGAGATATTTTAGAGAGAAAAAAATAAATTTAATAATGTTTTCTTTATTTATAGTATTAATCATTTTTAATTCTTAAAAAAATCCTTTTTATTTCAATTAACATACATCATTATCCTAATATATTTTTTTAGTAAATTTGATTTTTTTTAAATAAAATCATGAATTTCTATTTTATTAGTTATTGTTTAATTTGTTAAAATAAAATGTTATTATTAGATGACACACATACAATTAAAACTAAACGATATTTTTTTACTAATACCTTTTCTTTTAATAAAAAATTATACTAACTTTTTCGAGTTGATGTATTTTACATTATTACTATCAATAAAATTGTTAAAATATAATTCCTTATTATTAAATATTATAACAACAAAAGTTAATAATGTTTTATATTAAAAAACTTGAGCAGCACAACAATTAAACACATGTATCATCGACTAAAAGGTCATTTCCACGTGTTAAACCAAAAAAAAAATAGATAGTTATAATAAATAAATTGGTCAAACAATATTACTCTCAAATAAGATTTATTATTTCTTCATTAAAATAATATTAGCACATGATTTAGTTAATTTATTGATAATTATCTAGAAATAAGGAAACAATCTTGCAGTAATTGTTATGGACTCTGATTGGTAATCTGTTTCTCTTCTCAAATTTTTGAGAAACTTGAGCATTTGGTGAGTGTTCATATTTTTTGTTTCTATTTTTAAGAAACATTTTTAGAACCCTGTACCAAAATTTTGGAGAAATTTTGAAAATAATAAAATCAAATCTCTTATTTCTTATCTACGTTTCCATTTTTTTCAAAACATAGATAAAAATACATATATAATAAATATAACATAAAAAATTAAATATTAGTTTTAAAAAAGTTAATTTCATATAAAAGATAAATTTTTTAATTAAAATTTTAAGAATGAAGAATAAGAAATAGTTACCAAACATATATTTCTATTTTTTTTTAATAAAAATAGAAAGAACAAATAGTTACCAAACCAACTTATGTAAATAGAAACGTACTCTATACATCTGGTACCTATTCCAATTTTTTATTTTCAATAACATATGAGATGCAGATTCCAACCTCTGAAATTTTAGTTGAGTATGATGTCCCATTGGATTGGCGGTCAATTTTACATTTTACAGCATCTTTTAACTCCGATCTCTCCCAAGAAAGCGAGAAGAACAAGGGAAAAAAAAGAAAAAAAAAACCTCTTAATCACGCTTGCATTTTCGGAGGCAGCTCCTACATGCCAATGTGACCGCATAAGCAATTCCCATCAAAGCGAGAAGCAGTACTGCAACATTGAGGTAAACAAACCATCACTACTGATACAGATGATAATATTACTGGATAAATGCTTCTCAGAGATGAAGCCTACTACAAATCAGTATGCATGTTTTGTAACTTACAAGTCAAGGTACAACAAAACAAAATTGCCAGCCGATATCTGACTACCCATCCCAAAGTAGATTCCAGAACACAATGCCTCTCATATTCTCCCGTTGACAGATACTCACTGTTTCCCGAGCGCAATGAACTCAAGGACACGTTCACACCAACTGCGGGGAGTCCATTTGTATCTCGCACTTCCATTTTTATTGTTACTGGAGTTGCATCCCAATCGATTTCAACGACTCCAAAGTTTGGTTGGCCTAAAAGGGAACCCATAATTTTACAATAACAAGACACGGGAGGTGAAACACCGAATGCATCTAAACTCTAAACATTAAATTTAAGATCAAAGGCATACCGAACGTGCAGGAGTTGTATCTGCAGTTGCTTTTCATAACTCTCATTGTAGTTGGGGTCAACCACGCTAGAAACCTCACTACAAATTGTAATGCTCGCGGAACCACCCTCTCAACCGCTTGGGTAAGACCACTCGAGGTTATGTCATATAGCGGATATTCAACAGCACAATCATAGCGTGAGATTTCTCCAAAATGAACATCTCCGCTTATAAAGAAAACTCCTTTTCTCTTAAATCCAAAAGAAAACAACAACAACAACAACAACAAACTATTAGTAAAGACACAATGCAGGGTGGAATGTTACTTTCAATAACACATGAACTATAAGATTTCTCTCTCTTTCCTTTTTTGCCTTTACCTTTTGGGCTTAAGTTCTCGAAACATTGAATAAAAAATTGGAGCATAGGAATGGATATTTACCTTGCTATCTGCAATCAACTTAAAAAGGAAATCTCTCTCCTTCGGGAAACGTCCCCAAGACTCCAAAGAGAACAACGGACTGGTGGTTGCTGAAAGATTAGATATAACCTGAATTGCAGAATAACTGTGACATGAACTCAAAAATGTAAAGCTGACACCTGCTAAACGACGCAAGGAAGTGGAGAATTCTTATCATAAGATTCATCGCTGAACAAGAGTAAATAAAGATCCACAGAAAAAGGTGCACAGGCTAAAAGCTTGTTGAAGTAGGCTTGAGACACCTGAATGGATGACCCAATTATTGTAACTGCAGATTCCGGACCCTTAAGCTCTCTCTCCAGCCACGCCCGTTGAGCAGACCCCAGAATAGTTCCATCACTAAACATTGGATCACGGTGATATCTAGTATCTAGTAGTATAACCTATTAAACTTCAAGTCACAAACATGGTCGCCGAATGCTAATTATATGTTACACCATCACTAAACCAAATTATGAAGGTGAGAATCATTGATAGGGCTTCATTTTGTACCTTAATTTGTTTACCTACAGGGCCAAATATATATGATGCATACACACCATGCTGCTTCCGCCTGGAATTGAAAATTATGGAAACAATTTAATAGAAAAAAATGTCTACAAAGAAGTAAATTAACAATCAGGGTTGCACTGCTATATAAATTTAATTTATTGTAGGCCTGAACAAATAATAAATTACATATCTTTTGTAATTTAAGTTTAATATAGTCTGAATTATCTATTCACTGTATACCAATCCTTTCGCCGTTGTCAGTTAAAAGATGACAAAAAGTTGGTGTGAATTTTAAGATTACCATTCCAGTAATCAAGAGAGTTGTGAGCTAGATATTAACTATTGGCGGTCACTGGTTTTCGGTTTCCAAGGGGGGACAAAATCTTGTTAGGTGGGATCAAGTACAGAAACCTATTGAAGAAGGTGGACTGGGCCTTCATAGCATCAAAGGTAAAAATAGAGCTCTTCTTGCCAAATGGAATTGGAGGTTTCTCACAGAATACAATGCACTTCGGAGAAGAGAGATTAAAGCCAAGTTACCATCACAGATTATCGAAATCCTTCTATCAATCGGCTCCCTTGCATCTGCCAGAGGGCCTTAGGAGAGACATTGACAAACAAAAATCTCTAATTTTGGAAATAATACCTTATAAGGTGGGAGGGGTTCTCTTCCCATCTTTTGGAAAGATGTTTGGCTTAATAATGAACCTTTGTGCTGCACATATCCTCTCCTTTTTGCTTTACATGACAGAAAATCTGATTCTGTTAAAGAGTATTGGGCTATGGAAAACAACTCATGGGACATACATTTTAGAAGGAATTTAAAGGATGCCGATATTGTGGAGTTTGCTACTCTTCTACACAATTTATCCACCTCTTGGCTCTCCTCGAACAGGGACACCATCTTTTGGTGATTGGAAGCTCACGATACCACCAGCTCTCTCCTCAAAGACTTGCAAAGGTTCTTAGTGTTGGGATTATGGAGCTAAAACAGGAAACCTATATACTATGAAGAAAAGGATTTTTCAACACTATTACCAATTCCTACTGGGAGTAAGATATTGTTGTCTTATAAGGATTACAATATTGTTTTCCTATAAGAATTAAAATATTTGGCCTCTTATAAATAGAACCTTTATGTTAAGGTTTCATTTGTACAGAATCCAAATGAAACAGATTTGAGTAGTTGTGGGCAGTGTTGAAAAGGATTTTGTATCAAATGGGTTTAGTGAGTGTTTTTTATTCCTGTACCTAAGTATAGTGTGTTATAATACTCAAGCTAGAGGACTTTTGTTGGGGCCTCTGGGGGATATTTTTTTGGGAGAGTTTTGTATTCTAATCCTTAAACAATTATAAGTGAATTACCCACATTTGAGTGGAATACTGGACGTAGCCCTTTGCTGTGTCGTTATTCTTGTGCTTCCATAGTTTTCTTCTTATTTTCATATATTTTTGTTGTGTTTGGATATTTCTGTGGAAGGAGAAATTATTCAGGGTCTTCAATTTCCCAACAAGCTCCACTAGATTCTTCAACTCTATGTATAAGGCCATTTGGAAAGATCATTACCCCCAAGAAGATTAAATTCTTTCTTCGGGAAATCAGCCTTCGTGCCATTAACACTCGAGACAAACTTCAAAGGCGAATGCCCTTTATGAACATCTCTCCTCATTGTTGGGTCTTGTGCAAGCAACACAGTGAATCCATTGGGCATGTTCATCTCATGCAACTTCTCCTTTAGCTTATGGAACAAAATCCTTTCCCTCTTTGGCTGGTCGGTTGCTCTTCCTCCAGATATGCCTCTTTTATTGGCATCTATTCTCATTGGTTGTCCCTTGAAAAAGGAGAAACTTTACCTTTGGTTACATTTTATATGGTCTCTACTATGGACCGTGTGGGTGGAAAGAAATCAGAGGATCTTCAAGATAAGGAGCACTCACTTCACAACATTTTTTAATCTATAGTTTTTTTGTTATATCTTGGTGTAAATGTTCTCCTCTCTTTCATCATTATAGTTGTTATCCAATTGAAGAGCTTTTTTGTAACCCCTATATCGGTTCTCTCCTCTTCTTGTAATCTAATTTCCTCCTATCAATGAAATTGTCTCTTTTTGGGGGGAAAAAAAGGAATGGAAGTCTCTCTTTTACGGAAATTTACCTCTTCTCAATAGGGACTGTGATGACCTACAAATAGTGCTTTCTAACCTCTAGCACCTAATTTAAGACTAGTGCAAATATTAGCCCAGTGCAAGGCGGTCAAAGGTAGTTGGTGAATTGATGATAATAGGAGAGTCAATAACTGAGGCTCCGGGAACAGATTCACAAGTAAAGTTCTAGAAAACAGAGTCTAAAACTATTATAGAACTTCCTAGATATTGGACAAAATATTTATAAAAAAATATGGAAAAGAAAATCGTAAGGTGTTAAAAGTCGTTCTTCTATACCCACCACCCAGCGTAAAAGCATAATATCTTATGACCATATGCTTCACACCTCAAATTTGAGTTTCTGCAATGCAAATAAAATGCTTTGCATGAAAACTTCCAGCTCCTCACGACAACTTCTATTTGAGATGGACATATACGGGAGAAAGAGGAGCTATGCACAGAAATGAAGAAGAAGGTGACATAACATAGAAATAGTGGATGTAGTACAGAATGCTTGCATATGGAATAATGGTATGTTTACATTATTGCTAACAACAATTTTAAATATGAACGTCAACTTTCTAATTTCAGTTTATGGAAGTAATCAGACGTAAGGAATAAAGTGCGAGAGTTAATATCGAGAATTTAAAATAAGAATCAGATAACCAAAAAAACACAACCCTCATACTCCAGGAATAGCTGAAGTCGTAGGTCAGGAAAATAATATGTAAAAGTAGAAGGGGAATTCCCACCTTGGACTATCAAGAGGTTCATCTAAGAAATCAAGGAGAAGCTTCTGATTAGAGACCTTCTCAGTAAATTCCTTTCCAGCATCGTTTAATCCATAATCATGGTCATCCCAGACACCGATTACCTAAAACACCACAAAAAATTTAGAAGTGGCACCCTCCCTTTAGCCTTTAAATATCAAATCATGTACGGGATTTTTCGATGAATTTACGGATCAGGCACCTTGGTCCTCTGTCTAAGACGAGTATAACCTGGAATTGTCTTGCCCTTCTTATATTTGAGGACCATTTCCTGCTCAGATGAAGGAGCAAAACGTGGAACATTTTTCCATGGTCCAGCCGTCCTTTCCCGACCAAGTAGTTTGAAAGGGCGCCTAATGTCTCCGTAGATGTTATCACCAAGCCAAATGAAAACTTGCGGGTCGAAGTTGATTATGGAATTCCAGATTGGCTGCAACAAACGACTCCTTGTTAAATCTTACTTCTAGTATAAGAAACATTGATTTTCATTCCTTTCACGTCGCAGTACAAAATTGTTTTGAGACAGAATTAGAATATACCACTCGTGTCCGTAGATAAAGTTAATTTTAAAAAGGACAAAAGGAAAAAAGAACCAAAAAAAAAAACCTGAGGAGCGTCCTGATTGGCGCATGATCCGAACGCAATCCGGGAAACTACAGCGTGGGGATCTTTCTGTTTCTGTTGCTCCGTTTGGGAAGCACTGCTTCCTGGAAACCGAAAACCAGTGACCGCCACTCCAATTACAATGAAAACCCGCCACCATCTCCATCTTCTCTCAATGCCCATTTCTGTTTCTTTGTTCCCCTAATGGAAGGACAAGTTGATCGGTAGTGGCAGAATATGTTGAACTGATAACATAGATAAGTGGATCGATTCCGTACTCGCCTAGGAAATCAAATAGAAGAAGCAGATAATGAAAAGTAGTTAATCAGGAAGCACGACCTGCCTTGATAACAAAATCAAACCATCAAGGAAGAGTGCCTATGAAATCAAAGAAGTGCAGTTGAGCTCGAGTTTGCAACTAAGAATTTGGTCTGCTTCTGCACCTTCTTAATTAAATTTATTGATTGCCCAAAACTGAGCCTGGAAATCAGGGGCCAAAAAAAAAAAGAGAGAGAGCCTGGAAATCGAATGAATGTATTTGATATGTACGAATATAATTTTTTCAATCCACCCTGCGAGAGTGAGAATTTGCACTCACCCTTTTTCAAATAAAATATATTAGCATTCGTTGATACTTTATATAAAAAATAGAGTATTTCAACTAAAAAATAAGACAATTAGATAAGATGGTAGAAAAGATTGAATATGATGTAAATTTGAAATAATAAATGTAGTTATCAATTTTTAATTAAAAATAATTTTATAAATTTAAAAATAAATAAATCTAAGACATGATACATTATCATTCAAATTATGTAATTATAAATCCAAACAAAGAAATTATTTGTTACATAGTCAAAATTATAATAGGAATAAATAAAATTCTTTTTTTATTACTCTTAAGCTACTTTTTTAAATTGAAAATTGAAAAATCAAATATCAGTTTTTTATCTTTAAAATGATAAATATAAATGATACGGCACCTTTTAAATATAAAAATAAAATCTCAAATAAGAGAAATTAAAGAATTGAAATTTGAAAAATAACTGAATAATATGTACTGTCATGAAATCATTTAAAAATTGTGGGATAAAGAATCACACGACTAAGAAAAATAAAATAAACACTGCACCAATCAAAAAGACATATTAATTAAGATAAATAGGAAAACTAATACTAAAATAATATCAATATATTCTAAAACTTGAAAAATATTAAATTAAACTTAAAAAGAACCTTAACTAAATATTAAAACACGAAAGTATCATGAATACATGTAATTTAAAATAATCTATAAAAAGATTAAAACAATCTAAAAAAAACTAAAAGTTAAAAGATAACATGAATACACTACCTCTTTAATAGATTAAATAGATTTTTGAATTCAGATATAGGTACAAAATTAGAAAATATAAACATAGAATCTAAAAGTATTTAAGATAACAGCAACCACTCACATTAGGAAACAGATACTCAAAATATGATCAAGGTAGGTACAAAATTAACATCAATTTAGAAATCCAATAATTAAAATTAATAAATTCAATTTTTTTTTTTGAAATCTCAGCATTCGTGATCGATGAAGATGAACAGTTTTTCAGCGAACGAAATAGACAAAATAATGGGAACAACTCAGACGAACTTTTAGTCTCCTTGGACAGAGGTATTGTTCTTACAACTGATATGACTAAATTGCAAGATTAGAAAAAATAATGTATTATATAGTCATTTTTTCTGTCTATTCTTAAATTTATCTCAACTTGGATCTTCATTTACAATTAAATGGGGAATGAAGAAGGAAGATGCTTTTATATCTTTGCCATAAAAGTGTATCGTCATGCTTATTCCTCTCTTAGGTAAAAAAAATATATAAACATAAAATAAAAAATCTAAACAGTCATGAAAACAACAATAAGTGGGATAAATACAAATATTAAATTTAATTTTATAGGGATCCAAAAATAATAATAAATAAAGAGAAAACAACAATGTCAGTTTATTAAAAATAATACACATAATATGATAATAGTACAATAATTCACATAAATTTGTAAAACATAACGCTCATAATTCACATAAATTTTAATACTTTACCTCTTCATCGACTAAAATTAATTTTTATATTCACAAATCTTGATTTTGGCATACTTCAATGTTTTTGGTGTTCGAAATTATCAAGTGTACGAATTGTCACAAGTAATATAGAAGAAGTAAGTAAAGTATCATCTCCACATGGAATGAATGATTACTAATTACCAAATTCTCCACTTCAATTTTATCTGAATGTCGAATGTTTAATGGTGGTGAAATGAAGTAGTTCTAAAAGAAACTCGATCTAAAACAAAAGAAAATATCACAACTATCAAGAATCAATTCAAGCGGATTAAACTCTAGAGCATGACTTCACCGATATTGCCCTTAACTCTTCCGACTACTTTATTCAAAACTTTTCTAAACAATGGTTGTTGGCGGATTCTACCCTATTGACTCGATATTCTTTAACGATTTTCTTTGAAAAGTAGAGTATCTATATCTCTATGACTACTCTGACGATTCAAATAATTAAGTACGTAGAACCCAAAAACTATGCCACAAAATTCACAAGAATATCTCTATCTCTTGCTTTAATTTGGGAGAACTATTCAAATCTAGTCAATAATCTTATAATGATTGGACATACTATTGCTATTCATAATGGAAAGGACCATTTGCCTATTTATATAACGGATCGCATGGTAGGTCATAAATTGGGAGAATTTGCGCCCACTCGAAATTTCCGGGGGCATGTGAAAAATGATAATAGATCTCGTCGTTAATAAGATAATTCGTACTATTATTTAGTATTTTCTTTTATTTAATTGAAGAAATAATTGGAAAATAAAACAGCAAGTACAAAAATGAGTAATAACCCCCAGTAGAGACTGGTACGATTCAATTCAACATTTTGTTCGTTCGGATTTGATTGTGTCATAGCTCTATAATTCGGATTAGGTTTATCGTTGGATGAACTGCATTGCTGATATTGACCCTTTTCAACCTCGATTTATGACAACGAATCAATGTAAAGAATGGTCAATTCTCAACAATGCATTAAAAATATAAAAAGTTCTCACAACCAACAAGTTTAGAAACAAAATCAAATAAAAAACATAGGAGAGTCAAGTTTGATAAAGGTTACATCAATGTCCTGGAAATTGTATTTAGTTCATGCTTGAATCCAAAAAAAAATTCTCAATCAACATCATTCACGGAAGTTGAAGCTAAAGGAGAGAAAGAAGAAGAGAAAGAAAACAAATCTGGCGATCTCTCAAGCCTCCGTCTTCGCGTTCCTTCCGATCTTCTTAAAATCCCCACTTTTCTCTCTAAAAACATCTATTCTCTCTTTGTTTTCCCCCAGCAGCTAGGGTTAAAATGATATATTTAACAAAATTCTATCGCGAGCGCCTAGGCGCCCAAAAACACGTGCCAGCAAAAACCAACGCTTCAATATTCGTAGCGTCTAGGCGCCCAACATTCTTTTTTTTTTCTTTCTGCCAACTTTGGCGCCTAGGCGCCCAATGCGCTAGAACGATGACCCTTTTTGCTTCTTTATTTTCTCTTTTTCTCTTCTTCTTCAACTCAAGTCCTACAAAAGAAAGAAATACTAAAAACGATTAACTATCTAAAGAAAATGTCTGTAAAAACTATCAAATAACCATAAATTACAAAAGCTAAAAGTCACTTATCAGTTCCCCTACGAAGAACAGAAACATGTAATTTCCACTTTTTTGGAGATGTATGAGTTATTTAATAAAAGAAGAAATTTTTATAGATATTTTGGGACAAAGAATATATGAGTTTTTAATCGTTTGTAAATGAAGAATAGTCATACCTCTTCAACGTAATACTTCTCTAAACAGACACCTCATTCAACTTGGTATATCTTAAAAATTTGGGGGCAAAATAGGAAGGTAAAAATTCTACTCAATAGCCCCATTTAGATGAAGTTACTGTTAAATGTCTTAATTAATTTAAGTTGTTATTGATTTTTATCTAAAATGTAACTATATTTATTTTCACAATTTTAAATAAATTACTTTATACAAAATTTAAAATAAACTATATATTTAATTAAAATTAAATAATTATTTTGTTTGTATTTAAGATGTCAATATATTAGCCAACATGGATCTAATTGTCATTTGTCTCTGACCAATAGCACATGAGTTCGAATCCCCTCCTATCGCTTGTTGTACTAAACAAAATAATAATAATAATATTATTAGGGTTTAGAAGTTTTAGAAGTTTATTTAGTATAATATGTTAGGTAATGTAAATCTTCAGCTATGTTTAGGTAAACCAAATATATATATATTTTTTATTACAATATGTGAAGTGGGAATTTGAACTCGTGACATTTTACTCATAAATATTTAAATTCGACAAGATTTATCAAATTTTATAAACTTTTTATTTTATCGAATTTCATCTTAAACGTAGAGGGGAGTTAAAAATCTTCATCCTACATTTTAAAAATTGTTGCAAAATTGACCTAGGGTAAATTTACATCGGAAAAAAGTATAATTATTTGCGTCAAATGGATTATATAATTTGTATTTTAGTATGAAATTGATAGAATATAGAAAAAATGACATCAGAGCGAAGTTTTTTTTTTTAATCTTAAGTTTTGACATAATTATTTAATTTGGGACAGAATTAGTTAATTAGCAGAAATTGAGCGACGGCAAAAGTTACAAAACTTATTAAATCTATAGTTGAATTTGACGAAATAAAATAAAAAGTTAAAAATGAGAACCGATAAATTAAGGGTAAAAAGTATTTGAATGGATTGGTTGTCAATGACACTGCAGATGCCAGATGTAGATGCGTCCTTTGGTATTCATCCCATCATTAGGCGGTTCGGCTTTGGGGACGACGCAGGAGTGGTGCGGGCTTTGGGCTGCAAATAATGCAAGGCGCTGTTCTCTTGGCTGTACAAGCACAACCAGTCCGAGTAAAGTTGGCGAGGAGCATCAATTGCAATACCAGTAGTGGTCATCCGTCCGCCTCCGCAGGCTCAGGCACTCCAAGCCAGATGGCGGCCGCTGGTCCGAAGTGGGCTCAGAAGACTGTTACGCTGCCTCCTCATAGGCGGGGCTGTCATCTCATCACCCCGAAGGTGATCAATTGCTTATCTTCTCCCACCAAATCCACAATCTCGTATTCATTTACTGGGGTTTATTTGAATGATCACCTTCTTTCTCTTTTCATAACTCCCCGATGCTTAACCCATAGCTTCTCATCCACATCTTTCAGTTCCCCTATTACTACTTGAATTCTGAGAGTGTCGCATTCTTTTGATATATCCGAAAAAATCCTCTTATTTTCCTTTTAGTTTGAAGCAGAAAAAGAATCCTCTTTCTCGTATTTGTATATGTATTGGATATTTCTCGTGTCATCAATATTTGATATCACTAGATAAAGAACCACTTATATTCTAAAGGTGGCTTTTACCAGAAAATGAAAATCAAAGAGAAGAAGATTTTCGTTTGCAAACAGTCTTATATATATTTAAAGAATACTCAATCCCCATCCCTACATTTGTTGCACTAAAAAAAACTGCGGTGAGATTTTAAAATGGGGGGCGTTACAACTTTAACGTGCACTAAATTTTTCCTTATATTCCTGCTACTGATTTTGAATTCTGTATCAGATAATGAAGGAAATTGGACAAGACTTGGCAGAGTTCAAATGTGGCCTTGCTCATATCTTCTGTAAATCTTCTAATCCCATTTTCCTATTTCGGAGAATCATGTGTAGTTAAATTTATTTCTCGAATCATTTTATGTCTTTTCAGTGCAGCATACAAGTGCCTCTCTTACCATCAATGAAAACTATGATTCGGATGTTCGCAGCGATACTGAAACCTTCCTCAATAGGATAGTGCCTGAAGTTAGTTTGTAATTGGCACTTATCATTTTCAACTCTCATTTATTGAAACCTGTCCTATTTGACCCATTCTCTCTGTCTCTCTGTCTCTCTGTCTCTCTCGGGGGTTGTTTGCAGGGGACATCTGCTCCTTGGAAGCATACACTTGAAGGTTATCGCAATTTATTTCCTTCTACTTTATACTTAGAATTTTCCCTGTTTTTTGTTTTCTGATTTCATATGCTGAAAAGGATAATATACTGCTAAAAGGGCCTGGGCCTGGGATTTTGTCTGCTATCATAATATTGTAAGATGGTGGTGCATGGCAATGGGGGACGAGAGAATATGAAAAGTAGTATTTTATGAGAAAAGGAAGAAAAGATCAACCAACAAGGGCCAAGAATATTTACTACTTAGATAGAAACGCAGACTGAAACAAAATTTCTCTGAAGTAACCTACATGTTATATTTGTAAAAACCAAACTCACTTCTGAACCTCCATCCCATCTAAAAGATGATTGAATTGGTAATTATTATCAATAATTAAGCTTCCGATAGAAAAGGATTCTTAGACTCAAACTAACGAATTTAAATAAACTAAAACCAGGATAAAACTAATTCAACAAATTTGTTACACCTACTTCTGGAAATTATTGAATGTATCTTAGAATAATAAAATAACTAGCAAAACATGTTCTATATATAAAGAACACTATTGTTGCAAACTTTTCTTTTAGAACTTTCAAATAGAATGCAAGTGCTTCAGCATCGCGCATCCTGTTGTTCGGTCAAAAAGAAGAAGGGTTGTGCCCAGTCCTAAACAGCTCTTCCATTTTGCCTTTTGGGAATCAGATGATGCACAGAGAAAATTCATAAGAAATATAGGATGGGAGGTTTGGGAAGGCCTTTATTTTTCCTAAAAAAGTTACTCTCTGGTTTTCTAGTTCTAAAATGTTATAAGGATTGGGTATATTGACAATTTTTTTTGTCATTTTTGTTCATGCTGTCCTAGAGTCGAGCAAGCCATTCCTTTTTATATATATATATTTTGACAATGAATATGCTCATTATGCAGGTCCGGATGACATGCCAGCACATATTAAATCATCAATGTTTGGCTGTGCTCTCACGTGGGTTATTCTACATAGTTTATGGATTAAAAGCCTGGTTGACTTACAGTTCTCATCTGTTGGTATTCTTTTGCAGGATTCCAATTACAAATGGAACGTTTAATATGGGTACTTGGCAGGTACAATTTAGTAGATTTTTAGTTTATGTGTCGTGTATATATATGTCTAGTTTTTCTAACTAACAATTCTCGCTGATAGTGAGAATGATTAATTGGAGAATGACATCTTTTAAATTTCAATATTGATGCTTTATTCATTTAGAACACGATTATGTTATTGATATGTTTTGTTATGTTTTAAATTTCGAGATTTGTAATTTAGGTATGAGAACAGATTTGTAATTTATGTTATTGATATGCTTTATCAACCTTTATATGATTTGTTATGCTATTTAGAACTGAATTATGAGCTATAGCTATGTTAGTCTTATTGTCACAATAAATCCATCCAGACATCCTCCAAGGAAACTTCAATTCTTCAAGTATCTTTTTGATCCATATACCTTCACAAATTCCATACTAAGACTCTCAACTCTACTTCAACACTATTTGTGGCCACCACAAACTCTACTTCAGCACTATTTCTGGCCACCACATTTTGTTTTTTACTTCACCATGTAACTATATCGTCCATCAAAGCAATAATAATCAAAAGTAAGTCTTCTATCGGTAGCAATTCCAGCTCAGTTTGCATCAGTATGAACTTCTACTTCAGTACTTCTAAGTGGTTATTCTTTTTTAATAAAATACCTTTTCTAAGAGTTCCTTTCAAATATCTCAAAATTTTGTAGGTTGTTTCTAAATGAGTCTGTCTAGATGCATGCATAAATTGACTTACCATGGGGGCTTTCTCATCCTCGGGCCTTTGGGCTGTTTCTCTCTCTCTCTCTCTCTCTCTCTCTTTTTTTATTTATTTTTTTTATGACAAGTGTCTATTTCCTAAAAAAAAAAAAGGTTCAGCAGGGGTTTTTGCAATCCTACAACCAAGTAGTCTTGTTTCTCCAAGTTAGTCAAAAACATATTTTCTTTGGTTAACAAAGATACATTTCTTTAAAACTCCAATCTCTCCATTACCTTTCTTTTAGAGTAGAAGGAAATTTAAACGCCTAAGGTCTTTGAATTAGGATGAGCAGCTGCATTCGAATTTATTGGAAGCCTTTAATGAGGAGAGAGAAGGCAAATGCATGATCTATTCGAGGAATTCCTAATTTAGAAGGGGAGTTGAAACGTCATTTAAAAGAAAGGGATTTAAATTGTCTCTCTCAAGGGGTGATTAATTCAACAAATGAAAATATAGCAAATCAAGAGCCGTTACAAGATTTCTCTGTTTGAAGATATATGCTCTGAAGTTAGCCTCAGTAGTTATGCCTCTTCCCACATTTCAAATTCAATAAATTCTTCAAGTGAAGTATTATGTGAACAATCCTTCGCAGAAGAATTTTATGTTCGATGAGTTTCAGGAAGTTGAAAAGTCTTGATTAATTCCTCCAATCCTGAAAGAAGTTGGTATTACCCTTGTTAGAGTATAGATATTAGTATATTTTATATTCTTGTATTAATATTAATTTGTCCTTTACCTTCTCCTTATAAGATTAGGTCAACCTTATATATTTATCTATATATATAGACTTTAATAATGAGAATATATTAGTGTTTTTGAGGCGCAAGGTGCACCGCAAGGCAACAAACCCTTTGATCGCCTTGAGGCGAGAGGCGATACAAAGGCGACGCCCGATTGAAGCGAGGCGCACCTTAATAAATAAGTAAAAATTATGTATATAGTGCTTAAATTACCTTAAAAAATCAATACCAAAATAGTAAATGTCAACAATACAAAAAATCAATACCAAAATATCAAAAATACTTTAGGTGAAAATATTTGGTGCAAATAAATTTTAACTTAAATAATTAAGAAAAATTAAAAATATAAATTTAAAAAGAAATTAATAAAATTAGTGGTTAAGTAGAATACTAAAATTAAATCATAAATTAACTTAAATAAAAAAAAAATTATTGCAATCTTTCCCTTTCGCTTCCAAATGGCAAGATAAAATTGCATGCAATTGATGTGCATGCCTTGAAAACGTAAAAGGAATAGGAAAAGTCTCAACCAAGCATCAAATCCCCATATCTTTTAATCTATTTTTCAATTCTTCTTCTACTTCTACTTTTCCAATTCCTCCTCTTCTTCATCTCTAATTCTTCTTTCATGATTCTTCTTCTTCATCTCTAATTCTTCCTTTCCGAGCACCTACGTCGCCCTGAATACACATTCATAGGTGAAACTAAATATTTTGATTGTCTACGAAGAAGGAGAAGGAAGGCATGATGGCTTCATATCGTGCAATGAGTGGGGACAAAGGCGGTAGCAATGGCAGCAACAAAGGATGAAGCGGTGGTGAAAGAGGAAGACTTTCGTGTGGGTATTTCGATTTTTGGGTGTGGGTTTGCATCTTTTTAGGGCTTCTTTTGTGGGTTTTTTAAAATTATAACAAAAAAAAAAAGAGTCGCCTCGCTTCAAAGAGGTGCTTGCCTCACCTTATGGCGATGGCGCCAAGGCGCAGCAAGGCGCATCCAGGCCAAAACGCCTCGCCCCTCGCCTTAGGCGAGCGCCTGGGCGCGCCTCGAAAACACTGGAATATATCACATTGGATTCTCTCCAACCTTAGTCTCTACATGGTATCAGAGCTCTAGGTTTTGTGCCCATTAGAGTTTTGTGCCCATTAGGGTTTTGTCCCTTAGGGTTCTGTTCATTGCTATCCAACTCAACTGACTACCACCGTCACCGACCACCACCACCGCTGTTTACTGATTCGCCAATGCTGCTGTTTTCCAATTGCTGTTCGTGGGTTTCGTCTCGCCGCCAATCGCCGTCGTTTTCGCCGTGTGCTTTCGTCACCACCAGTTGCCACCCGTCGCCTTCGCCCCTCTGGTTGTCGTGGGATAGCACTTAGGGTTTCTAGTTTTAGAAAACTCCTAATCCGGTTTGGTTCCAGCAGTTTGATTCATCTGTTTTGTTTGGTTCGGGTGGTTTGGTCTGGTTCTGTCGTTTTGTTCAAATAAGTTCGTTTGTTTGTTATGGCTGATAAGAAATCAATCGTAACTTCTGAGGTGATCCCAATGATATCAAAAATCACATAACACAAGTTGAATGGAGCACGAATAGATTGTTTGTCTAACAAGTTGGACATGATTAATATAAATGCACCAACTTAAGGGGGAGTGTTAGAGTATAAATATTGGTATATTTTATATTCTTGTATTAATATTAATTTGTCATTTACCTTCTCCTTATAGGATTAGGTCAACCTTGTATATTTGTCTATATATATAGACTTAAATAATGAGAATATATCACATTGGATTCTCTCCAACCTTAGTCTCTACAACCCTTATACCAACTTTGTCAACAAAATGAAATATTATCTTGGAACATCTGAGGTCTTGGTAAAAAGAAGCAGAAGCTGACAATAAAGAACTTTATAAAGAATCATTGCCCGGATATTGTTCTCTTTAAGGAAACCAAGGTGCAGCAAATTGATAAATCTTTAATCAAAGGCCTCTGGAGTTCGAAAGACATCGGTTGGTCCTCAATTGGTTTAAGTGGCAAAGCTGGAGGCTTATTAATCATGTGGGATGAGAGCAGATTTTGTGTCAAGGAGCTATTGGAGGGATGCTTTTCATTAACCATTTGTATTTCCTTTTCTGACTCTAATGAGATTTGGTTAACAAATGTTTACGGTCCATCCGATTATCATGAGCGAAAACACTTTTGGTTTGAAGTCTGTGATGTCTATAGCTATTGCGGAGATATTTGGTGCATTGGTGGTGATTTTAATGCAACAAGATGGTCATCCGAAAGATCTTCTAGCGGGCGAATTTCGAATGCCATGAAAGCTTTCAATTCCATTATTGAGGAATTAGAACTTCTGGAGGTGCCCCTTTCCAATGGTAAGTTTACATGGTCTAAGGCTGGTAATGGCTTCGTTAACTATTTGATTAACAGGTTCTTAATCTCTAAGGAGTGGGACAATCTTTTTGGCAACACTAGAGTCTCAAGGGCCAAAAGGGTCAAGTTAGATCATTTTCCCCATTTGCTAGAAGCAGGAGATTTATCTTGGAGCCCTTCTCCTTTACGGTTCTACAATTCTTGGCTAAAAGATAAGGAGTGTACTCGTATTATCGAAGAAAAATTGGCAGCTGGTACTTCTTATGGATGGGCTAGATTTCCCTTTCTTCCAAACTGGGAAATCTAAAGGCACCTATTAAACAATGACATTTGAAGAATGAAAAGAAGAAAGAGGCGAAAGAGGAATAGATCATCAATGATATATTCTCCCTTGATCTCTTAGAAGAATGTTTTGGCTTATCTTCCGGTGAACGCGATAAGCATTGTGCCCTTCAAAATGACCTTCTCAACATTTATGTTGAGGAAGAGAGGACTTTGATTCAAAAGTGTAAAGTTCACGGGTTCATGAACAAGGAAAGGTTGTGATTACAAAAGAATTTCATGTAATTTATTCACTACCAAGAAGTAGTGCTGTATGTCACAACCATACTAGTAGAGAGTAGGTTGTGACGCCCACGTAGTGTGCAAGTGTCAGCGACAAGCATATGTCGCCCATCGGGCCATGTCAAG